AAGCTAGTAAACAAGGAGGACCCTAAGAGAGACATACATGGTCCCCTGGAGAAGGAGAAAGGTTCAAGATCCCCTGAGCAAATTGAGAACACAGGAAGAGGAGGGAGGGAGCTATGAGAATGAGAAGGGAAGAAGAGGAAGGATGCAGAGGTCATGAGGGAGCAGAAAGTTTGAATCAGGGGAAGAATAGAAGAAAGGATATGTGATAGGTAGGGTTTTAGTTGGGGGGGTTGGCAGGGGAGGACAGGAGGGAGAAGGGAACTGGGATTGTCATGTAAAACAATCTTGTTTCTAATTCAAATAAAAAAATGATAAAAAAATTTAAAAAATAGTAAAACTGAGAGGGAAACAGTGTAGAGATGCTTCATTACATTGGTCTTGGAAATATACATTTATATATCCCCCAAACCACAGACATCAAAACAAAAAACTGAATGACGAGAAACCTATCAAAGGCAGTCTAGCCCCAGAGTCTACTCTCTATGACCCAAGACAGGTCAGACCTCCCTAGGGATTCATACAATGTCCAGGTACAGAAAAAAAAAATGCTGTGTATGTCATGTCTGATGGTAGGTGTCTATAAACACAGCACTCAGAGCACAGAGGCAGAATGATCAAAAGTTCTAGACTAGCCTGGGCCACACAGCAACATCCTGTCTCAAAACAACCTACAGTAGTACAAAAAGAGCAAATACAGCTACACAGACAAGCCAGGCGTTATGGCGCTAATGCTCTCACTCTCTTCACACCTCTACACAGACTCAGTGAGAGGAGACCAAGGCAGCTTCCACACATGGGTGTTGACTGACTGCGTGGCAGGATTGCCATGGAAAGTAACCAGGAAGTCAGTTTCTCTTTAATCAAATATTTATTAACTTCAGAAATGGGACCTCACATGGGAAGCAAGAAAGTGAAAGTAAAATTGTATTTTTCCTCAGTGAACAGAAAGTGAGTCCTGAAATGCCTGACCAGAAAAGTTATGAAAATAAAGGCATACTCACTTTTTCAGATTCTAAATACCTATGCCTTGAGGACATAAGAAAACTTTCTACTATCAAAAACAGTTCATACCCAAAAAAGTTTGTTTGTTTATTTACTTTTTGAGATTATACTTTATATAACTGTCAGATAATTACTCAGTTGGGGTATGCACTTTCATAGTCTTTTTTACAATATCAAAGTAATGGCATGTCAGCCTTTAAGCATATGGGAAGAAAGAGTATTCTATCATCAGAAAGTTCTGCATAGCCAGAGGACCCCTCAAAGTCTCTTTGGGGAACCATGGGGTCAGGAACCAAAAAAGAGTCTCTGAGAGGCCTTCTGTGTCTAAAGTCACTTACAGATATACATTCTCATGTATTAACACTACTGTGGTCTGTGATAAAGGATACTGAAGTTATCCTTTATCACTCCATGAAGACACCAGTCTTTGTCCAGTTCTTTATTCTGGGACACAAGAACCTGGAACTCCTGACAAGTTCTCACCAACCTCCAGAATCATCATTACCACTGAGACCTACCCGCCCTCAGTATCATCACTACCTAAAAGCCCCAGTACCAATCTCCTCCAAGCCCCAAGGACTCTCTGAGTGAGAGCTCTGATTCCATGGGTCTTCAGTGTGAAAGCTTTGGGTTCTCCACCACTTTCAGAATACTTTCTCAACCTCTTATGAGACATAAATCCTCCACAAGGTCTATCTCCAGCATTTCTCACCTTTAGTTCCTGATGCTAACTAGCTCATACAACATGAAGTCTCCTGAGTAAACTGGGAGCATGGTGGGGGGTAGGAAAAAGAGGAGAGGAGAAGGAGAGGGGAAAGGGAAACATAAGGGATCAAGAAAGTCAAGTTGGGGGAGAACAGAGGAGAGCAAGAGAAGAGACCTTAATAGAGGGAACTGGTATGGGCTTAACGAGAAATCTGGCATTAGGGAAATATCCAGGGATCCACAAGGATGACCCCAACTAAGAATCTAAGCAATAGTGAAGAAGCTACCTTAAATGTTCTTCCCATACAATGAGATTGATGACTACCTTAAATGCCATCTTAGAGCCTTCATCCAGTAGCTGATGGAAGCAGAAGCAGAGATTCACAGCTAAGCACTGAGCTGAACTCTTGGTATCCAGTTGTAGAGAGGAAGGAGTAATGAGCAAGGGGTCAAAACCATGCTAGGAAAACCCACAGAAACAGGTGACCTGAGCAAGTGGGAGCTCACAGATCCCAGTCTAACAGCTGGGGAACCAGCATAAGACCGAACGAACTAGGCTCCCTTTACATAGATATCAGTTGGGGGTCTGGGCAGTCTGTGGGGCACCTGGCAGTGGAACCAGTATTTATTCCTAGTGCACGAATGGGGCTTTAGGAGCCCATTCCCTGTGGAGGGATACTATCACTCTAGATACAGGGGGAGGGCCTAGGTCCTGCCCCAAATGATGTGACAGACTTTACTGATCCCCATGGGAGGCCTCACCCTCCCTGAGGAGTGGATGGGGGGGTGGGATGGGTATTTGGTGTGGGAAATGGGAGGATAGGAGGGAGAGGGAACTGGGGCTTGTATGTAAAATAAGATTGTTTTGAATTTAAATAAAAATTAAGACAATAAAAAATGAAAACACTGAAAAAACTTCATGAATAAATAAGCAAATGAATGAAGTCGCCCCATTAATTACTAATTTTTCTTGCTTGAGGTTTTCTAATATTAATCTCTACCTTCTTTTGAAATAGATATGAAAGCACCTTTCATTTTCTAGTGACCAATTTTACTTATAAGAACTGGTCTTAGGCTGGAGAGATGGCTCAGCAGTTAAGAGCACTGACTATTCTTCCAGAAGTCCTGAGTTCAATTCCCAGAAACCACATGGTGGCTTAATAAATAAATAAATAAATAAATAAATAAATAAATAAATAAATAAAATCTTTAAAAAATTTAAAAAAAGAACTGGTCCTCAGAACTGAAAGAAAATAATCACTTCATAGAGAATCTAGGTTCTAAAACCCATTGACCTGGGCTTGCTGTGTATCTTCCCATTCTTGACTCTATTGGATTGATGTGCGTGCTTTCCAGATTCCTCTCAGCCATTTCCTTCAGCAGTCTTACTACCTGAGGTGATAAATACATTTTGGTTAACCAAACAGGCCCTTCCTCAAGGAGCTGTCTTGCCTCTCAGGATAATTCGTCATTTTATTATAAGCTCTACCTTTGGGCTTTTCTTTGTAGCTTGTAGGGAGACACTATAACCACACCTCTTAAGGGCTGGCTACAGCTGTGCCCGACCACGCCCATCAGAGTGTGGTCAAGGTGATGTCAGGGTTACAAGGTGATGTCAGGGTAACATGTGAGAGGTTTAAAGGGATAGCCAAGGCACATGGTAGCTCTCTTTCCTTGCTGCTTTGGCACGCTCTGTCTTTCTGTTGTTTGGCATTTACCTATTAAAGTTATCCTGACCTTATGGACTACACATTAGTTATTCACCGTAATAGTAGCTCTGGCTTTTCTTTTCCTCAGGCTTCTACTTGCCTTTTTAAAAGTTCTTCCTTATAACTCAACTTTCTCCAGGCTATTGGTAGAAATAAGAGAGATATTGATTTCCAATGTAAATTATGGCATCTGATGAGAACTTGCTGATACATTCATGGACTAAGTAAATCATGAAGAATTGAGGAGTTTCTTTTATAACTGAATTGTTAGAATAAACCCCAAAGGCAATTTTCAACTGAATAGAAAGTTGCTCTTGAATCTTGTCTGTGATTTATAAGACTGACTAAAAGAACTTTATCGGATTGGAAACAGTAGCCAATGATTCTTGGGCTGGGAGAAGCCTTGTTCAGTAAAGCCCTGCCCTACAAGCTTGAGGACCTGAGTTCAATCCTGAACCTATCCCTGCACCTTCTCTAAGCATCGGCATCCACAAACCTCAGGAGAAGATTCTTTATTAGCTCCACCAGTTTGACCTTTGCCAGTTTTCCTATAAGCACCATAAACTCCTATTGATTGTCTAGAAGAGACTAGACATATTAACAGGTACCCACCTGCACACAATATGGTCATGGGCTGGGAAAGTGGATGACACTTGTAAGGAAAGGTGGAAGGAGGCAGAAAGGAGAGAAATTGGGGGAGGAAGGGATAGATGGAGGAGAAACATGATCAAAGAGAGGGAAAAGTAGTAGTTGGGCTTTTAAATTACTTTCTAATATGTTAATATCTATCATTTGTGTTTTTAAGATGTTCATCATCTTGTATTACATGCAAGAACCAAGTGAATATAAACTAGCATAATTTCTTCATCAAACCACAGAGAAGCTGATGCCGTGGAATCATCCATAAAAGTGAAAAGTAAGCATTTTGCTGAGTGTTGTGGGCCCAGCTGTGTAATTTTGTTTTCCTCAGAAACCCAGATGCAATACACAGTAGAAATATTCAGGCGCACTTGAGTCATATATGCCAGTTCTAGCCCTTTTCTCTGTTACCTGGTAGACAGGGTCTTGCAGGGCACCTTTTTTGGGGGACCTGACCCGTGTCCATAGAGCAAGACAAAGAGAAGTCAGGCAATGCTCTAGAGAGGACCTCACTATCACTGTTCTTTCCCCAAAATCCTCTGTTCTGCCACTATTCTACCTTTCCCTGCGCGCCACCTCCATTCACTAATAGGTATTGAGAACATTAACTGCAGGTGCAATTGGTGAAAAGGGGGCTCTAATGGAGCCTTATAAGTCCCTGCACATGCAAATATTCACACATGTAATGAAGCCTCAGAACTGCCCCCAGGTACTACCTCGTTACTTTGATTCAAAGAATGGCAAGCACTGTCTGCACCAGTTCCAGTGTCAGTCACAAACAAGGCCTGACCCTCAGCCCTGGCTCTCCCAGCTATTGAGAAACATGAGAAAGTTCCTAAAACCCTACTGTGCAGTAAAGTAGCAGGCAGACTTGCCCAGAGTTTTAGTAGTGATTCTATTTGTTTATTTATTATTTACTGAAGCTACATAAACTTTTAAACTTACCCCAATGGCAGCTAAGATTGGAGCCTGGTAAATCCACCGGTCTCCAGCACTAAGTTCCCAACACCTGAGATGCAGAATAGAGGAAGGAAGGAAGGAAGGAAGGAGGGAAGGAAGGAAGGAAGGAAGGAAGGAAGGGAAGAGAAAAAAGAAAAAGAAAAAAGCTTAATGAATTTGACAAAATAAATAAATGAGAATCAATTCTAACCCCAGCTGCTTCTTTTGGAGAAACAAATGCATTTTTTTACATTCTTATCCCGATTTCCTTACCATGAGGGAGCCCCTATATCAGTGTTATAGTATTGGGAAGTTACTCCTATAGTGGTCAGGTCAAGACCTTGTTTCCATAGCCACAAAAAAAGCTCCTAGTTTCCTATTTGTGGCACAATGGTACTTTGCTTTTGATGGCATCACGATGAGACATAATAATTTAAAAGTTTTTGGCAAAAAAATCTACCTCTTTCAGAAGTTAGAACAATTTTATTTCATAGTTTATTATCTATAGAACTACAATAGAAAATTGAACACAAATGGTTCTTATCATATAAATAAATAAAAACTCAGCTTCGTTGATGGACTATAAATCGTTAGTGTCCTCTTGTCTAGATTTTGCATTTATTTGTAAATCTTCAGTATTGAATTTCATGAACATAAGTGGTTCATTCATGTCTCATTTGCACCAATTTAACATCTTCCTAGTTATTGAATAGGGAGATAAACATTTTGGCAAGTGTTCATTTAATATCTGTTTACAGTTTATTTTAATAGCATTAGTAAAAATACCCCACAATTTATCTATTTGTTACAATTAATTCTAATAATTCCTAACTAAAATTTAAGTGACACATAGTCAGAGAATCAGTGTGGGGAGATGGTGGGGGTGTTGTGAGGTACCCTAAGTGCCCAGAATATATAGAATGCAGAGGGCCATTAAATGTTTGTTGAAATAATGTAAATTGAATCCAAAATAAGTTTAACTCCACCTCACCTAATCTGGTTTGTAAAAGCCATACACTAGATTAAATATTATAGATTTTTTAAAAATTATCTCTACTTACAAGTTTAATGTAACATTTAAAACAATTGTTTTAAACTTACAGACATGTAAATAAAAGTCTTCCATTCTTTCTACTCAAAATTCAGTATTGATTATACCCATAGACAATGATGGAAAGAATTTGAGGCAATAAAATGTTAATTTTTCACATTCTAGATGATAAACTTATCAAGAAATTATGCTTTATAAATACCTTATAGACAGTGAAATGCTATTTCAACAATTTTTAAAGGGTAAAATATATTCAGTCCATATATACAACTATGTGTTTTTAGAGTATATTTTTCATATACAAGTAATACATTCTCACCTCAAAAACCCTAAAATAGAAGAAGACCATTTTATACTGAGACACTCTGATCTTCCCTGAATTCTCTCATTATTTTATTAAATATGTGACAGTGCCTATGCATTTCTGAATGAATACAAATAGCACACTCTTACTTTCCCTTATTGCTGTATTTTGGATCTTAAACTGCCCTCTGGAATCCCTTGCATTTAAGGTCTTATCCCAGTGTCTGGCATCACTGGAAGGTGGTAGGATTTCTACCAGGTGGTGTCTAGTGGAAGGAAGTTAAACTGTTGGAGAATGCCTGTGAGGGAAAATTGGGAGCCTCCAGCCCCTTCCTTTTGATTCCCAGATACCATGAAGTGAGCAGCCCGTCTCATTGAGATGAACTATAAAGCCCAACAGCAGTCATGGGTCAAAACCTCTGAGAGTGAAACATAAATTTTCTCCTACTTTTAAGTTGATTGTCTTGAGTATTATGTCACAGCAGCAGAAAGCTCTGATGACTAACACTGATGGCAGGCATGATGAAATCTAGAATCACCCACAAGACAAACCTCTGGTCCTGTCTGTGCGTTTCTCAATGGGTGATTGATTTCTGAAACCCCACCCTAAGTATGGGAGGCACCATTCAGTGGGTGAGAGTCCTGAACTGAATAAAAAGAAGACAGCAATCAGAGTGTACATATTCATCCTTCTCTGCACCCTGGCCACAGAAAAATGACCGGCCACCTCATGTCCTGCCTCCACGACTTCTCACCCTCGATACCCTCAAAATGTGAACCAAAATAAATCCTGCCTAAGTTGGTTTTGTCTGGTATCCTTGTCACAGGAGCAATAAATGGAACCAAAACACTAACAGACATATCTCACAAAAATACGTAATCTATACGCTGCTGTGCAATTTTATTTTCCTTTTGAATATACATATAAAATTGTGCATATGTAGATTTCTATATTGGTACCAAAATATACCAGTCACACATGTATTTTTGCAAGACTGTAACGTAGAGATCAGCAAACTAATTCTGGTCCCTCCCAACTGAAGTCTGCACAGCCAATGAACTTAGAATCTTAATAGACTGGAAATCCAAGACCCAGAACTGTTACACTTGCACATGGAACACTGAATTGAACATTTCCAGCATTATGTACAGGCATCTCTTCCACATTATTCAATAGGCAAGAAAGATAAAAGATTGTAACTAAGTTGCACACATCATGGATCACACTACCCTCAAAAGCCTTCATCTGTAAAGTCTTGATGTATCTGTTACAAGGCTTTTGGATCCCATACATTTTCATTTCAGTTTTTAGCGTTTAATAAAATTCTCACAAACTTTTTTCTCAGCCTCACTGACATTTTAGTATCATGTCTCCTAGCACATGGGATTCAATCATGCAATTCCAACTCTACAAAATCATTATATTTGAATGTAGGTCAAAAATCTGCTGTCTCTAAGTGTATCAAAAACTTGACTTCGATGGGTTAGAGTGTTAAATTTTCAAATTTTCTTTTTTGACATAATAAAAGAGGCAAGTGAGATGTCAGACATTTTCAAGAAAGTGCTATAACTCCGTATTCTAAATTAATTTTTTAACGGCCCACATCATACACAGCTGAGGAATGAAACTCAGTTCAGATGTTTTTAAATAGATTTTAGCACTCTTAGAATAAAGTTGAATGTTGTAGTTACAGGCTCAAATGTTTGACTAGAAAGTAGGACTTTATACACTAATATGGGGAACCAGCCACGTTACTTCCTTTTCCCTCTCCACCATATTCAGTAAAAATAGAGGAGGCAAGAGAGGCTGGACCCTGGAGAGCATACAAATCCTAAAATGTTTGAGTGCATCTTTTTGTTGCCTTTTCTACTGCACAACCCACCTTTGCTTCTAAATGATGAAACTAAAGTAGAACAAAGGAGTTACAGGTCCCCTGCTCACTGGCATCCTTTATTTCCTCTAAATGAACCAAGAATAAAGTAGTTTTGTTTCTGTTGCTGTGATAAAATGCCCTGACAAGAAGCAATTGGGGAGAAAGGGGTTTATTTGGCTAGCATTTCTAGGTTACAGTCCATTAATAAGGGCAAACCAAGGCAGTACTCAATCAGCTAGTCACATCACATCCATGCTGCCTGCTTGTTTGCTAGATACTCGGCTACCTTTCTTCTATCTTATGTAATTCAGGACCTCTGCCTAAAGAATTGTGCTGCCCACAGGCATCAGGGTCTTCCCATCTCTGGTGTCTTATAAAGTGTTACCAGTCTTGTAAGTAAATAGAAACAAGAACAAAAAGTGCTTATTTCATAATTTTATCAATTAGCTTACCTTCCCCTAGTCTGATAAAACTTGATAAAATTTTAAGACTGGGCCAGGCAGTGGTGGAGCACACCTTCAATACCAGCACTAGGGAGTCAGAGGCAGGTGGATCTCTAAGTTTCATACCAGCCTAGTCTATAGAATGAGTTCCAGGGCAGCCATGGATACATAGAGAAACTCTGTCTTGAAAATGCAAAAAGAAAAAAATTAAGACTGGAAGAGACTTTTTTGTATTTCCAATAGCTCGGGGCTGAGGGTCTATTTTAGTGCTAGATTGCATGCCTAGAAAGTACAAGGCCCTGCAGAACTAGAAAAAAAAACAATCCTAAGTGAGGTAACCCAAAACCAGAAAGACAAATACAGTATTACTCACTCATAAGTGGATACCAGAAATAAAGCAAAAGATACCCAGCCTACAGTCCACAACCCCAGAGAAGCTTGAGCCCTCTTCCAGAAACAGATGGAAGCAGATACAGAAATCCACAAGTAACCAATGGGCCAAGCTCCTGGAGTACAATCAAAGTAAGGGAAGAACAAAAATATGAACAAAGGAGTCAAGACCATGATGGGGAAAATCCACATAATCAACTGACCCGAGCTAGTGAGAGATCACTGACTTAGGTCTGACAAATGGGGAACCTGCATAAGACCATAATAAGACCAAACTAGACTCCCTTAATATAGGTGACAATTGTGTGACTGGGACAATAAATGAGGCCACTGGCAGTGGGTCCAAGACCTAACACTAGTGCACAAACTGACTTAATGAAGGCCATTCTATATGGAGAGATACCTTACCCAGTCTAGACACAGGGTTGTGGGGATGGAGAGGTGCCTTGGTCCTGCCTCAACTAGATGAAGGGACAAACTTAGTAGACTTCCTATGGGAGGCTTTACCCTCTCTGTGCAGAAGACAGGATGAGGAGGGAATGGAGGGAGTGGGAGGAAAGGAGCAAGGGGGAACTGGGATTGAAATGTAAAAAATAAATTAATAAAAAAATAATTTTAAAAAGAAAGTACAAAGCCCTGGGTTCAAACCTTGACAACACACACAAAAGAAAACTCAGCAGTTGAGTGTGGAATCTTAAGAATAATGGACAAAGACATGTTTTGATTATCATAGTTTTTTTAATTGATCACAAAGATCATGAAGTTCAACATCTGAATCTCTCTGTGAGCCTCTCTGTTCTCTGACCTATGAGCTAAACAGCTTCTGGGCAATGCACTAGAGTCTACCATTGCACCACTGCACACAGGCCACTTCATGTGACTCCCAAAAAGGACCACAGTGTCAGGAACAGCAGACAAGAGAAAGCCTGAGTCTACAAAACCCCCACCCCCATTTTGATTGCACTAACCTTGTGTCTGCTACAGTGGCCCACACCACTGCCCAAGCCACAACAAACGCTGCTGGAAATCCTGTAACAAGAAAAGGATTTGGAATCCATATTTACTTTCAGATCAGATTTTTTCTCTCACCTATAATTAGCAGTTGAGACAGAAAAATAGATACACAAAAAATATTGTTGTAAATAAGAAAAGTGTACCTAATGCTATCTCATCCATTTGAGAAGTGAGTGGCAGCATAAAGGGCAAATTGCACCTGGAAATCTGAAGATGATGGTATTTGGTCAAATTTTCACAGCAGGGATTAGAGAGAAACCACATTTGGAGGGAATTGGAATTCTCAAAGCTATAACCATACAGAGGGTGGTACATTCTGACTTTCGCCACAAAAACACCTACTTCCAAGGAGTGGGGCAATAAGGGTAGAGAAAGGTTGGAAGAAGCTGTGGGCTTTAAAACATTACACTGTTTGCATTCTCAAAGTGGAAGGCAGGGAGAAGCTGCCAGCAGGCTTCAAAGTCAGGGTGACGTGTCAGATAACGTGCATATCAGATATTTACATTACAACTTGTAACAGTAGCAAAATTACAGTTATGAAGTAGCAACAAAATAATTTTGTAGTTGGAGGTCACCACAACATGAGGAACTCCATTAAAGGGTCACAGCACTAGGAAAATTAAGAACCACTGCTGTACAATTTCTTTCAAAGACTGAAATTGCAAAGAGAGAGGCAGAAGATAGACTAGCTACAGAATTTATTGTCATGTGGGATTGTGCTAACAAAATCAACGTAATGTTGGGTAAAAGATGCCCCATACCCGTGTCTGTGAGAGTCCTATGTACTTTAGTGTGTGTTCTGAAACCCCCTCATGAAATAGAGATTGCAAAAGACTGTGGTTGTTTACTGTTGCATCATCCCAAAGACAAAATCATTGAGAGAGAATTAACAACAGTTGTAAAAGAAAGTTAGAAACATAATTTGCATGGAAGTATACTAGTAACAAATCACTTTTATCCTTTTTTTCTTTCCTCCATTGGAAGATCTGAAATCAGGTCTCCAGGTTTCACTGTGTCCAACTCCCGGCTTTAACTGAGCAAACACAGACTTCGCTGAGTGGCAAGAGCCCAAATAAAGAGCTGGTGAGGAGGCCTGAACCTGCTCGTTATCAAGACATAAGAAATCAAAGAAAAAAAGAACGAATTCATAATGCACACAATCAATGTAGAAATTCGTAAAGGGAAAAAAAGAGCAAGCTGGGTTCACAGACAAAACTTTACCCATAAACACCATTTCAAAATTACAACAGCATTACAGTCAGTCAACATTTTGTCATCCTAAAGGCCTTCAGTGAGTTATCGAGAAGTTCTTTTTTCCTTAGTTCACATTTTTCAGATGCTGTGACAATTTTAAGGCAAAATGGGCAAAGGAAAATGTTCCTGCATGGAAGCAGACACCCACAGCTAAACACTGAACTTAACTCCTGGAATCCAGTTGCAGAGAAGGAGGAGTGATAAGCAAAGGGGTCAAGACCAGGCTGGAGAAACCCACAGAAACAGCTGACCCGAACAACAGGGAGTTCATGGACGCCAGACTGATAGCTGGGAAACCAGCATAGGACTGACCCAGACCCCTGGGAGGAGGTCTGGGCAGTCTATGAAGCCTCTGGCAGTGGATCAGTAATTATCCCTAGAATACAAATGGACTTTGGGAACCCACCCCATATAGAGGGTTACTCTCTCAGCCTAGACACTCAGGAGAGAGGTCTAGGCCCTGCTCCAAATGATATGACAGACTGTGAAGATCTCCAATAGAAGGTCTCACCCTCCCTGGGGAGCAGAAAGGGGATGGGATGGGGGGCTAGTGGGGGACAGAGGAGGAGGGGAGGGAGAGCGAACTGGGATTGACATGTAAAACAAGCTTTTTTATAATTTAAATTTTTAAAAATCTGAAAAAAAAAAGAAAGAAAATGTTTCTGCATCTTTGGGAGGGGAAAAAAACAAGTCTTCCAATTTAGTCCTCAGACTTTAGTACCTTTCCCTATGCTGAGCATTCATAATTCAAATATTAAAGTAGCAACTTAGTTCTGTCTGCAACTGTTCAATCTCCAGGCGCTTCTCTTCTAACCACCTTGGTTTTTCCTTTCCCTGAAACTTCAACAAGTACACGGTATTGTTTTCTCTGTCTCTTGTTGAGATCTTGACTGATCTAGTAATTGCCTAGTACTGGTAAATAGTTTGTGGAATGTGAGCATCCTGTTTTTAAATTTACTCTACTGAAAGTAATTTGAATAGTCACCTGGCAAGAATGGTAAGGCTCTGTAACTAGTTGTAACTTTATGTGTTAAATGCAGTCAAAATAGTACTGCAGATGCTTTTGTGACATCCTCATTATTTGACCTGGAGACATAAATCAGAGGTATGCTGTTGTAGCTTATAAATTCAACCTTCAAAATTGTTAGGAAGAAACCATGGACAGAGAGAGCAGACATGGCACAAGGCATGGGCCTGGAAGGTTTGAACAAGTACAGCTAATAATGTGCTCCTTCAAGCTCCTTCCACAGAGTTCTAGTGAGAATTTGGCCTAGGAACACTAACCACAATTTAAGTTTGAGAAGGTTGTTAAATGCATTTCATTAACAGGACAGTGAAACAAAAGAAAAGTAATAAGGTAAGATGGGCAGGATCATTGTAGGGAAATAACTGCAGGAATGCTGGTGATGAACAAGACACAATACACTCAATTCCATAACCATTCAGAGGAAAGGTGACTCGATTGCTTACCCCAGCCTATCAAGATGAAGCCCCACAGGTATTTGGTGTCCGAAAAGAAAGACACAAAGATTAAGTTATGCAGGTAGAGCCCTTCCACCAGGATCCAATAATAGTTTGTAGCCAAGAAATAAATAAACATCACCACAGCGATCTTGCATCCAACCTGTTAAAAATGAACCAGAATTGGATTGAATTAGGACATTTCATTATGCTGAATGCCACCCTGAGACCACCAAAAAATAATTCTTCTATTTAGCTTCTGATAATCAAAAAAATGTCTTAATTCATGAGACTGCAGAGAACATTGGAGAGACCAGAATCAAGTTGTCTTAACACAGGACTCTACAAACTACAGACTTGATTCTGTTTTTTAAGTAAGGTATTTTTTTTTCTTTTTGTAGCTACCAAATTTCATAATTCTTTCTTTTTATAAAAATAACACATGATCATCAGGAAAAATAGAATAGAAAAATGAGGAAAAATATTATATTAGTCATGTTTCTATGATGAATTTGTTTCATTCCAGGATTTTCATGTGACTGCTACAGCAAAATAAATTGCGTCAAACGTTAATGACTGAAAAGTGTAAATGTTTCCCATCTGAGGGATGACAGAAGGACTCATCGTTCTGCTGATCTGAGCTGGGCTCAGTTCACCCTCACCAGACTCCCTCACAGGGTCTGCTTTATCCATCTCACTGTCACTTTACTCCATAATACTGGGGGAAACAAACCATAGGTCAGGCCAGGATCACACAACAGAACCACAAAGTCAAAGGGAAACAGAGATACAGACGGCCATTCACTGGGACTGTGGAGAAAGATCAGTCTACTATAATTAAGTACCAGGTGCCAATCTAAGTTGATCATCTCCCATGACCAAATTACTGAATTACTGTGTGACTCTAAACTCTAAGACTGGAGCATTTAGAGAAAACACACTTCAAGGGTACCCATGATAGCCACTGTGATCCATACATTAAATTCCTTTGCAATCATTCATTTTGCAGATGTTCTTGTAGAATGAATCCAAATGAGTGATTAGACATGAGAGGACAGTTTTGTAAATAGATAGATAGATAGATAGATAGATAGACAGACAGACAGACAGACAGACAGATAGATAGATAGATAGATGATTGATAGATAGAGATAGATAATAGGAGAAATCCCAGTGCAAGTTAATAAATGTTTAGTGAAATATGAAATGGAACTTATTTATTAAAATTCTGTAGTGAGAGAAAATGAAAACACGTACATACTGAGACTTGTCCACAGATGGTCCTCCAATGAAGTTCTGAAGGTCACCCTGCATCACCAGAGACTGCAGAGCTTCTATTCCTAGGTGAGCCTGGGCCACTCTGTCCTTGACAAAGATGCTCACAGCTCTCAGCATGAAGGACACAAACAAGTGCAGGTGGATATAGTTCCTAGTACAGTGCAATCGTCTATGCAGAGAAAACGTTCATTATTTAGATTGGATAAAATTAATAACAGAGGAATAAAATACATCTGACCAGCACAAACATCCCCCCTTAAGGAAAATATGGTAAACTCAAAAATGAAAAGTCATTATTATGTTTCTTACATAAACTACTTGAGTCTGAAATTAAAATAAAACTTTATGAGTATTCATTTTAAATATATTCTGACCTACCATAATTGGGTTCCAGTTTTTGCTTTCTTAACTATTGTACTATACTATACTGCAATGTCAATACAGTGCTCTCTCTCTCTCTCTCTCTCTCTCTCTCTCTCTCTCTCTCTTCTTGGATTCCATCAGTAAGAGTCTGCTACATGTTCACAAAAATTGGGAGGTCAGAAAAGAAATTCTGAGTTCTCAGATAACAAGATTTCATGACTCACACATGGGTTTGATTACTCTTACCCTGTCTGTTCTTTGCTTACATCGTATGTTTATGTATCACTTGAAGTCTCAGTCAGAGACCCTTCCTTCTCTCTTTTTACCCTCCAAAACCACTACACACTGGTTGGCATTGTGCAAACCACTGTATACTCCCTCGGGCCCCTTTAGCCCCATCTCCCACTTCTTTCATAAACTCCTGGACTCACAACTGTGTGTGTCATATAGTATAACCATCCTATACATGCTATTCTCTGGTGTAGTTCAGTTTTGTTGGTTACAATTTTGTGTCAATTTAAATTATATAGAATTTTGTGTTTTGTGATGATATCCAATAGTACCAAAATAATTTGGGAAAAATGAGTTACTCCACCATGAATGAAAATTTTTGTTAAGTTGTGTACAGTACCAACCACTTTGCAAAAAAAAAAAAAAAAAAAAAAAAAAAACTGAGCTAGAGATTTATTAGCCTAAAGGCGTCACATACTTGATGCTTTCAGTTTTTAGAAAACATGAGAATGAGTTGTCAAAGACAATTAACAATATGTTTAGTTAAGTATCCTATATTAGCTAGAAGGAGGAATTGCAATGGGAAGCTCAGTTGGTGGAGTACTTGCCTAGCATTCATGAAGCCCTAGATCTAATCCCTAGGACCATATAAATCAGGTATGGTATTGAGACTGCTATCCCAGCACTGTGCAAGCAGAGGCAAGGGGATCAAGATCAGACAGATCATCATTAGTGTGGTGGTTAGAAAGAAAATGGTCCCCAAAGAAAATGGCACCAGAGATGTGGTCTTTGGGAGGAAGTGTGTCACTGTGGGGGCAGGCTTTGAGGTCTCTTTTGCTCAAACTTCCCTCAGTGACTTCCTGATGCCTGTAAGATGTAACACTCCAGCACCACATCCGACTGCCATGCTCCTCGCCATGATGATAACAGACTGAACCTCTGAAACCATACCAATTACATTTTTTTCTTTATAAGAGTTGCCATGGTCATGGTGTCTCTTCTCAGCCATAAAAAAACCCTAATTAATACAACTAGCCACATAATAAATCTGAGGCTAGCCTGGGCTACATGAAACCATTATCTCAAAAAAATTAAATTTCATTAGGAAAAGGTTATTGAAGACAGATTTTGTGCATTGGATGTCTTCTACAGATAGGCATTAGAACATTCCTTCTAGGAGAAAACGAAATGGGAACTATTCACCTGAAGTAGCCAATGATGAGAATGGCCACAGCCAAGGAGCCAAAAGAGATGGAGTAGCCAACAGTGTACAGGATGTAGATACTTTCAAAGAACTCTTGCTGTAGGGGGAAAGACAGTCAACATATGTAAAAGAAAATGGTTCAAAACAATTACATCACTTTTGGAATATTGTGTCTGATTCTCTCTAGCTGTTATGGGCTGTAATTTACATGCTATGAAATGGACATCTCTAAGACAAGCTGCTTGACAGCTTTTGAGACACCAAGTTTATTTGTGCCCCTTACTAGTAAAAAGGCCACCCACACACAACCTCTATTCCAAATTTTGTCACCACAAATTAGCTTTCTCTATTCACACTCTTGATATTCTTCCAGATTGTTCTTAGACTTAAAAATTATAAAATGTACGCTCTTTTGAGAACAAACAGCTTTTGATAATCTTCAATACTGTTATATGTATTTATACTTCATTTCCTGATAATTTTGTATTTAAAATGATCGAATCACAGAATATGGGAAATATAATAAGTGGTGTTTCATGTACTCTCCATCCATCATCTTTTAATGGTTGTATCTAACATAATTATATATACTAAGAAATATAAAGAATTCAACACTGTTGCAATGTACTGATAGCTATTTCTGTATAATTGTATCACACATGAAAATTTTTATGGCTACCACTGAAATCAAGGCACAGAAGTCATCCACCAGTGCAAAGATCTAATATACTGCTCATATGTGGCCATGTTTATTAACTCCCTTCTTTCCCCAGGACCCAACACCTGGAAACTTTGATTATGTTTTCCATCACATGATTTTCTTTTCATGGTGGTATGTAAACCAACTGAGACATTAAAGGATTCCCTGAAGAGTCCTTGAGATCCATCCAAGTTGTCACATCCGTTACTAAGGTTTTTTTTCTTAATTGTTGAATAGTATCCATGGAATGTTCATATAATATATACATTATTATATTTGAGTGAGTTCTTTATCAATAGTATATAGTTGGATCATATTTTAACAGATTCAATCAGTTGATTTGTGTATTAAAAGTATATTTTATATAGTATCATTTTTTCTATTGTTATTTTTTCATTTTAAAAACTTCCTAACTTGTGTGTTGTTTGAACATCTTTAGAATTCTACTTTATTATTTTGTATATTATTTTCAATGTTTATTTTAGGTATCGTGTTATCCCACTGAATGTAGAAGATGCACTCCTGCATGGAATAACTTCAAGTTTTCAATGATCTCATTTTCTAATTAAGCCATCAACATTATAACTTTCTTTCTTGCCATTTCACATAATTTGTGGTACTTCAGACTTTTATTTCTTTAGTTTGAACTTTGCCCTGAGTCATGTAATTTTCAACTGTTTGTGAATTGTTTATGTACTTACTATCTTAATTTTAATTAATCATTTTATAGTCAGAGACCATATCTAGAATCTCAGTCAAGGCACTTATGGAGAGTTATTTTCAGACTGCTGTGAATTCTATCCTGATGAAACTAATGTGTGCTCTAAAAGATGTGGCTTTTGAATTATTGAGTATTCTATAAATGTCAAATTAATCCAATGTTTGAAAGGTAGCCTATAGAAATTGTATTATCTGTTGCTTGAGAATGGTATTTTTAAAATTCAGCTTCGTGGGATATGGGTATCGCTCATATTAGCTCTGACAGCTTTTGTTTCCTGGCAACTCTGAAGATGTTCTATAGCTTGACAATCAAATAATGCTACAAGGAACGTGGGTAAGCAAATGTCTCTCCAATATTCGGATTGTATTTCCTTTGGATATGAACCCAGGAGTGGGAATTCTGGGTAACATGACATTCAGTTTTTAATTTCTTAAAGAACCACCATATTTGTTTCCTCAATGGCTATATTGATTTGCACTCCCACCAGTGAACAGATTTCAAGTATGCAAGTTTCCCCTTTCTTAAGCTCTTGCTATTTTTCTTTTTGTCTTTTTGGTAGTAATTGTTCTAATAGATACATGATATCTGTTGTAGCTATAACTTGCTTTTTCTAGTGATTGATCATTTACAGTTTTCTGATTAGTAAGGTTGGACATGCTTTCTTATGTCTGGTGGCTGTTTGCTTTGGTTTTTTGTTGTTTTGGGGGGGTTGTGGGTTTTTTGTTGTTTTTGTTTTTGTTTTTCTTGAGAAATGTCTATTTCCATCCTTTGCCTGCAAAAATAATTGCTCTATTTCTTATACTGAGTTGTCCTTATTCCTTACACATTTTGATATATCCTTTGGTGGTGGATACATAGGCCAGGCATGATTTGAACTCACAGTCCTCCTAGCCTTACCTGCCACATGATGGAATTAGGGTCTGCTATACCATGTCTGGATGGATACATTCTGTTATGGTTAGTGGGAGCCCACAAGTGACTCAGTTCCCATCTGGAGTCTATTCTAACTTTTAAGACATTGGAGTTCAAGCTTGCTTGTTTCATTCTCCTTTAGAGCCATGAGAAAGTTCTGATTAATCCCATGGAAAAGAGCATATTATCTAATTAACAAGCTTCTGATGCCAGCCAAAAGGCACATAAAGATAGGTAATGAAGGTGCTTGCTGCTAGCAGGTCTCACATGATAGATAGTGAGCCTGACTGCTCCTTGATTCAAGGACAGTGCAGGGAGCTGGTTAATTGACTCTTCTTTCTTCTGCTTTGCCTTTAGTCTGTATATAAGCAGAGTCTAAATTAAACTCAGGGTTGTCCAGCGTACTGAAAGGCATGGACTGGGTGGTCCTCCCAAATTTATCCTGTGTTTCTGTCTCTTTTTTTTTCTGCCTTTTCTCAGTCCTCATGCCCCTACTCAGGTAACCCAGCTGACTCATTGGAGCGGGCTCTGACAATGGTTCTTGTGCATGCCCTCCTGCTCTGTAAGTTGTCTCTTTGTTCTGTTGATTATTTCCCTGGTTGGGTGAATCTCTTTTGTCTGTATTGTTGTTGTCTAGCATTTGGGAAGCCACATCCAAAACCTAGATGAATTTGATGAAGTTTTTCCCCTCTGTATTTTCTTCTACTAGTTTTACAATTTCAGAAGTTACACAGATGTTATTAGTCCATTTGACTTTATTTTTGTACATTAGATAACAGTCCTTGTATTCTTCAGCATGGTGATACAGAGCAATCCCAACATCATTTATTGAAAAGGCTGACTTTTCCCCATTGTATTGTGTTTTTGGCTACCTTTTTCAAAACTTAGTTGGCTATGAATATGTAGATTTACTTCTAACTTACTATTCCATTCTGTAGGTCTGTTTTTATGCCAATATCATGCAGCCCTGGCTACTAAGTTTTGTGATGCATTTTGAAGTTGGATAATATGAATATTCTAGCTTTGTCATCACCCAAAATAGTTTTGGCTATTTGTGTCCTCCTAGCCTTACCTGCCACATGATGGAATTAGGGGTCTGCTATTTGTGTCTATACAAATTTTAGAATAGTCTCATCTACTTCTGTAAAAAAGAATAAGGCCCTAAAATCCTTACAGGGACTGGGTTGAAGCTATATATCAATTTGATTATTATGGGCATTTTAATATTAATTCACCTAATCCATGAATATTGGCGACCTTTATACTTACTTGTAGCTTCAATTTCTTCCAGCAGTATTTTATAGTTTCAGTGTACAGGTCTTAAAGACCCTTGAGTGATTTATTTCTAATTATCTCATGTCATTTGGCAAATGGAAATGACATTATTTTCTTGGTGGTTTTGGAACAGCTTATTAATGTAGGGGAACCTTATTCATTTAGTGCAAATATTTTTTAAGCCTGAAACATCACTGAATTCATTCATTAGCTCTAGTAATGCTGGAGTTTTCTATAAGATGATATCATCTGCAATTACAAGCAGTCTCACTTCTTTCCCCATGCATGTGCTTTTTATTGTTTCTTTTTCTTTTGCTCTGTTAGAATGCCCAGAGTTAAAATAAATGGAAAACATCAGAGACCACCCTTGAAATCTTTCTGCATCTCAGGAGCTTTTTCTCCACCAGCTGACTGCAACACTCTTCATTTGGAAACCCTTCTCTGCTGCTTTTTCAGGCTGCAGCCTTGTGTTCAAGCCTTGTGTGGCTGGACAGTGTTTCTTCCTATGACCTTCCTGATCTACAGTCATCATATACTCAATGAGAATTTTATGTGTGTCAAGGGATTTCTCTCATTTCCTGTGCTCTGTCCCCAAGATTTCAGATAACTTACGATTTTTGTATTTAAATTAAAACAATCTTATTTTCCACACCAATCCCAGTTCCTTCTCCCTCACATCCTCCCACTCACCTCCCCCATCTCCCCATCCCATCCCCCATTCACTCCTCAGAGAGGATTACCAATCAGGGGAGGGGGGCTCATCCATGAGGAAGACTAATCCTCCCTCTCTAAGCAGTCATTAATTGCTGGAGCTCTTCATCTAAGAGTGGGTTCCCAGGAGATTTCCCCTATCTACAATAACAAGTCATCTGCCATTAGAATTGCTCAGATCTTAGAAACTGGAAGCAGCCTAGATGCCCCTCAACTGAAGAATGGATAGAAAAAAATGTGGTACATTTACACAATGGAGTACTACTCAGCAGAAAAAAAAATGGAATCTTGAAATTTGCAGAAAAATGGATGGGATTCAAAGAAACCATTCTGAGCGAGGTAACCCAATCACAAAAAGACAAACATGATATGTACTCACTCATATGTGGATTTTAGACATAGAGTAAGGGATTACCAGCCTACAATCCACACTGCCAGAGGAACTAGTAAACAAGGAGGACCCTAAAAGAGACAAACTTTGTCCCCTTGAGAAGGGGAGAGGGTCAGGATCCCCTGAGAAAATTGAGAACATGGGAAGAGGGGGGAGGGATCTACGAGAATGAGAAGGGAAGAAAAGGAAGGATGCAGAGGTCATGAGGGAGCAGAAAGATTGAGTCAAGTGTAGATTAGAAGAAAGGATATGTGACAGGTAGGGTTTTTAGTTGGGGGTGGTAGGGGAGGAAGGGAGGGAGAAGGGAACTGGGAT